CTTCCTGCATACACTGGGCATCACCAAGGCATTCTTCGATATTTCTTTGAATAGAGATTTTGTTTTGATCAGCCTCAAAATCAATGTTCTCCCAATCAGAACTGCAAAACTATTCAGATAAGAAAAAAAACTCAGTAAGAGTCATTCAGCTTTGCATTAATGTTTTAAATAGCAGTTGAACAAATACTAACTCACCTGTGAAAATCCACATATTGACTGAATTGCAAAATACCATTCCTTCACACCTGGGATCCCAACAAGTGAACAGGCTAAAAGAAGAAACAATACAAATATTGCAGTTCAACAAAAAATATTTTCCATTTACAAGCCTTTTTAGTGGCCTGCTGTAGTCAAGCCAATTCCCAAGGATGATAGTAATATACAAGAAATTACAAAAACTGTCTTTTCTTAAGAACCTAAACATATTGATAAATCTAATCAGACACATTTTCCCTGGATATTCTTCTAGGCTTGTGCACTTCAGCTGAAAGGCGATCCACTTTCAGTATCCGAATTTTGTTGGGTCCGTTTTCAAAAGCCTCCCGAAAATCGGCCAATGGAAAAATCTGTTTTTGACTAGGAAGCCAAAATATCCAGGAAGATCAGACCCACTGGTGACAATGGGGAGCTTACGAGCCCCCCTTTCCATTTCTTGGACTCTTTCCTTTTAAGGGAGCCTTGGTTTGAGGAACAGGGTTAGTGAAACATGCTCTGCTACTGCTGAATAGAAGGGAAGAAGCCACACCCAGCAGCCACATGGGAAGATAAGTCTTTGCCATTAGGGCCTTTAGGAGAAGGCGAAGGAAAACTGCTAAAACGGATCTGCGCACAAGTCTAGATCCTTCAGTTATGGGGGTCTTACTATATTATACCACAGTAAGCTCCAAGCTGTTATGATTAGTGCTTCTAGTGACAATGATGAATCCAAGTGTCTGCTAACTACCGACTTCATCCTAACGAGTGGGATTCTCTTTAAAAGAGTCTGACCACGACTCAACCAGATGCTAAACCATCTTAAACAAATAAGCCAGGATTGACTCCCACCTGCCCCCATCATCTTGGCCGAGAATTGGTTATAAAAAAATCAAATGTATCACCAGTAACACATTAAAAGAAGAGACAGGAGAGAAGTGAATGTCATCCTCATTTTTGTAACATATCTGCATCTATACCTATATAACCTGAGGAGTTTAATACAAGAGTCTGGAGAATCTGCCAAAGAGCAGAGTGATAAACCACCAGCATCATTTTTTGGAAGTGACTGAACCAACCACAACTGGAACCACCACAGAAGAATCTCTGCATAAGAACCTAAACAGAAAGAAACCATACTCTAAAATCAGGCATCCTCAAACAGTGGCCCTCCAGCTGTTTGAGCCTCCAATTCTCAGAAGCCCTAACAAGCTTGTTCAATTGTTAGGAATTTTGGGAGCTGAAGGTCCAAACAGCTGGAGGGTCGCAGTTTGAGGAGGCCTGCTCTAAAATACTAAAAAAAAAATACTGAAAGATTTAAGAAAATCAACAGCATACCCCTCCCAACACAGACCATTATTTATTTATTTCCTATATTTATACCCTGCCCTTCTCCCCCTGAAGGGCGGCCTAACCAAAGCATCATACGATGCTAGCATCATAAAAACAACCACAGTACAATCAAAAAATTAAAAATTAAAAAAAACAATAAAACAATTAATTAAGACACATCCATTAAAATCGCAATCCAAAAACTAGTCCGGGTCAATTCATTGCCATAAGTGGTGTGATCTTCCTCCACTTGCTGCTCACTGATCAAACCATCACGCAGAGCAACCAAGGAGGTTTCTGTTCCAAATCCAGATCTGAATCTAGACTGCTATAGAGATCTAGGACAAGAAGCAAAAGCTGGAAATATGTGTTGTTGCTGAATTGACCAAGTCTGGAGATAGGGTATATATTAATATTTATCTTTTATTTACCTGGGAGATCTTCAAGCTTTGCATTCACAGAGGGGATACAATTTCTTTCCAGCAAGTCAAAAATGCTTTGTGCTGTTAAGCCTGAAAAACACAAAGTTGAGAGGTTTTTTAAAGCATGCAATGCACTGGAACAATCTTATGTACAAAAACTTGTGAAGTCTAACCTTAAATTACTCTGTGTCCTGCTGCCCAGGAGACTAGGACGCGGAGTAATGGCTTCAAACTACAAGAGAGGAGATTCCATCTGAACATGAGGAAGAACTTCCTGACTATGAGAGCAATTCAGCAGTGGAACTCTCTGCCCCGGAATGTGGTAGAGGCTCCTTTGTTGAAAGCTTTTCAATGGAGGCTGGATGACCATCTGTCAGAGGTGATTTCAATGCAATTTTCCTGCTTCTTGGCAGAGGGTTGGACTGGATGGCCCATGAGGTCTCTTCCAACTATTTGATCCTATGAAATGCCATATTGTCTGTAGTGCTCGGTTATAAGCCATTGCAGAACAACCAGTATGTGCTGGTTCTGAAACTGGTTACTTTCAATGCAAATAGAGTCCTCCTCTATTTCCATTTGTTTTTAATGTGGTGCACTTGTTGCAACATTAGAACAGTACTAACCATGATGGACTTGAAATTATAAGCCTGGCTTTCACAGTTTTTCAGATATTGGTTTTGTTGTTGTTCTTCATTCATTCAGACGTTTCTGACTGTTTGTGACCTCATGGACCAGTCCACACCAGAGCTCCCTGTCAGCCATCACCACCCTCAGCTCCTTCAAGGTCAATCCAGTCACTTCAAGGATGCCATCCATCCATCTTGCCCTTGGAAGACAATTTTCCCCAGCATAATTGTCTTCTCTAAGCTTTCCTTTTTTCTCATGATGTGGCCAAAGTACTTTATCTTGGCCTTTACTACTGGGTTTAGAAAAGGCAGAGGAATAAGAGACCAAATTGCCAATATGCGCTGGATAATGGTGAAACAAGAAAAGCACAAAAGTTGGGCTGCAGTTAAACACAAGAAAACCCCAAGATTATGGCAACAAGACTCATTGACAATTGGAAAATAGAGGGAGAAAACGTGGATGCAGTGACAGACTTTGTATTTCTAGGTGCAAAGATTACTGCAGACGCAGACTGCAGCCAGGAAATCAGGAGACGCTTACTTCTTGGGAGGAGAGCAACGGCCAATCTTGATAAAATACTGAAGTGTAGAGACATCACACTGGCAATGAAGATCCACATAGTAAAAGCAATGGTATTCCCCATAGTCACCTACGGATGTGAGAGCTGGAACATAAGGAAGGCTGAGTGAAGGAAGTTAGATGCTTTTGAACTGTGGTGTTGGAGGAAAGTTCTGAGAGTGCCTTGGACCGCCAGAAGATCCAACCAGTCCATACTGGTTACAAGAGTTATTTTGCTTATCACTAAACATGACTGACACTGATGGGGGACATGAGAGAAACCTCCTCGCAGGATTGCAAGACATCCGGGCGTCCCCTGGGCAACATCTTCGTAGATGGCTGATTCTCTCAGTCCAGAAGTGACTTGCAGCATGCAAACACTTAAGAAATGGGGCTGGAAAGTGGAATCCATGACATGCGAGTGTGGAGAAGAGCAAACCACTGACCACCTGCTGCAATACAACCAGAGCCCTACCACATGCACAATGGAGGACCTTCTTGCGGCAACACCAGAGGCACTCCAAGTGGCCAGATACTGGTCAAAGGACATTTAACCAACTACCAAGTTTGCAAAATCTGTGTGTGTGTTTTCTTTTTCTTTTAATCTGTGTATTTGTTTTGTTCTGTTAGAATTGTAACACAATGGTATGGTTGCTGATGACACGATAAATAAATAAAGTCAGATATGAATGTCTATGAGGTGATATTTAAAGGATCTTACACACTGCTAACACATCTGCTTCTAACAGATGGTGGCCCCCCGGCTGTGGAACTCCCTCCCCGCTGAAATTAGACAGGCGCCCTCCCTCATGGCCTTTCGTAAGGGCCTGAAAACATGGCTTTTCGAGATGGCCTTCAACTAAGTGCTATGTTATCGGATTTGACGACCGGAACGGACTATTACTATGAAACTGATTATGTCCCCATAACAAGACGAAGCGGATCTTTAGTATAGTTAGATGTTATGTATTAATAGAGTGTTGTTTTGTTGTCATGACTTATTGTAAATTGTCTTTTCTATGTTTTGTACACCGCCACGAGTCGCCCTAGGGCTGAGAGTGGCGGTTAATAAGTGCAAGAAATAAATAAATAAATAAATAACAGAGCACAAAAGTCCAGGTATACCTCAGATAACAAAATAGATGTGTTCTTTGGCACTGCAGTCAGAATTCAATATTGTGTGTATGAATACATAACCTGGAGTAACCAGATGTTCCATTCTGATCAAGTAATTCCAAGAATCGGAAGACTATGCAGAGGAAAACTGAAGTCTGGATGGGAATGGGAAGTTTCTGCATGACCAGTGTGTGCTGTTGGTAGGAAAAAGGGCAGGGGGTCAAAATGGTAAGTGGCTTATAGTAACACCAGAGGCACTCCAAGTGGCCAACCACCAAAGGATCAACTACCAAGCTTGCAAACTTTGTGTTTTGTTTGTTTGTTAAAAAATGCAATGCAACTGTTTGGTCTGCCCCTGACACGATAAATAAATATTGACACTGATACATAGAATCATAGAGTTGGAAGAGACCTTAGGCTGTTAGGAATTGTGGGAGTTGAAGTCCAAAACACCCAGAGGGCCGACGTTGGCCCATACCTGATTTACATTACATCTGTGTGTGTGTGTGTGTGTGTGAACAAAAGCAAGGCCTTGTTGTCCTTGGCGGCCTGGGGGCTCCTGCTGCTCACCTGAGGCGCCTTCTCCTTCTCCTTGGTTCCCTTCTGGGCCTCTCCTTCCCGTCCAACTCAGGAGGAGAAGGTACCGGTCCATTGTGCACAACCAGAGGGCTGAGTCCTGCTCTTCCGGTTTCCGCCCTTCGAAATTCCCGCGACTAAGCCATAAGCCCCGCCCCCGCGTGCTCTGAGGCGTCCTTCCGCTTCCGGAAGAGGAGGAGAAAGCCCAAGCTTGCTGCTTCCATGGCGAGTTACACCAAGGCCGCGCAGGTGAGAGCGCCTCTTATTCCTCCTTCTCAGATTGAAACTCACTTAGAACTGCTTTAGATTGTCAGTGTGTGTGTGTGTGTGTGTGGGGGGGGGGGGGTCCGTCATTTTTCAATCTCTTCTTAATAATTTAATTTAATAATATCTTTTGGAGTGGTATCTTTTAGCCTTGGCCCTTCCACAAAGCCCTGTAACTCAGAATATCAAGGCAGAAAATCCCACCATATCTGCTTGGAACTGTGTGATCTGAGCTAAATAAAAGCCCACGTTATCTGCTTTGAACTGGGTATTTTATTTATTTATCGTGTCATCAGCAACCATACCATTGTATTACATTTCTAACAGAACAAAACAAACAAACAGATTTTTAAAAAATACAAATTTTGCAAACTTGGTAGTTGATTAAATGTCCTTTGACCAGTATCTGGCCACTTGGAGTGCCTCTGGTGTTGCTGCAAGAAGGTCCTCCATTGTGCATGTGGCAGGGCTCAGGGTGCATTGCAGCAGGTGGTCAGTGGTTTGTTCTTCTTCCCACTCGCATGCCGAGGATTCCACTTTGTGGCCCCATTTCTTAAGGTTGGCTCTGCATCTCGTGGTGCCAGAGCGCAGTCTGTGCACCTTCCAAGTCACCCAGTTTTCTCATTTGGTATCACCCATGGATTGAGGTTCTGGGTTTGAGCCTGCCACTTTTGGACTCTCGCTTGCTGGGGTGTTCCAGCGAGTGTCTCTGTAGATCTTAGAAAACTATTTCTTGATTTAAGTCGTTGACGTTCTGGCTGATACCCAAACAGGGGATGAGCTGGAGATGTCTCTGCCTTGGTCCTTTCACTATTGGCTGCTACTTCCCGGCGGATGTCAGGTGGTGCAATACCGGCTAAGCAGTGTAATTTCTCCAGTGGTGTGGGTCGCATACACCCTGTGATAATGCGGCATGTCTCATTAAGAGCCACATCTACTGTTTTAGTGTGGTGAGATGTGTTCCACACTGGGCATGCATACTCAGCAGCAGAGTAGCATAGCGCAAGGGCAGATGTCTTCACTGTGTCTGGTTGTGATCCCCAGGTTGTGCAGTCAGCTTTCGTATGATATTGTTTCTAGCACCAACTTTTTGCTTGATGTTCAGGCAGTGCTTCTTGTAGGTCAGAGCACGGTCCAGAGTGACACCCAGGTATTTGGGTGCACTGCAATGTTCCAGTGGGATTCCTTCCCAGGTGATCTTCAGAGCTCGGGATGCTTGTCTTTTCCTAAGGTGAAAGGCACATGTCTGTGTTTTAGATGGATTAGGGATCAGTTGGTTTTCCCTGTAATAGGCAGTAAGAGCACCTAGAGCTTCGGGGAGCTTCTTTTCAACCATCTCAAAGCTTCCTGCTTGAGCGCTAATGGCACGATCATCAGCATAGATGAAACTGGGTTATATGGCAGTGTGGACTCAGATAACCCAGTTCAAAGCAGATATTGTGGGATTTCATGCCTTGATATTCAGGATTATGTGGCTGTGTGGTGGGGCCCTGAGTCCACACTACCATGTATTCCAGTTCAAAGCAGATAATGTGGGATTTTATTCAACTGTGTGGAAAGGGCCTTTGACATCTCCTCTGACTGTCATTTGGATTTAATATTGAAATAGTAAATTCTCTTTGGCATTGTTGTTAACTACCATCTCCTTTGGGAGCAACTGTACGGTACAATTAATGCAGTTTGATGCCACTTTAACTGCTGTGACTACTACTATTGCTTCTTCTTTTACTACCATTGCTTATTATTATTATTATTATTATTATTATTATTATTATACAATATCTCAGATAAGACTCAAATCAGCTGTGAAATCTTGTAAGTTGCAGTTTTACAAGATCTTTAGCCTTTGTTGTCTTAGTCCTCTTCCACACAGCTGTATAAAATTTATTTATTTGTGGGGGGACTCAAGGCAGTTCACAACAAAGTGAACAGCAAAATTCATTGCCTTACAAATTATAAATACATCACATGACTAAAAAACATCTACAATAAAATCCACATTGAGCTGGATTATATGGCTGTATGGACTCATCGCTCTTCCAGACAGGCCCTATATCCCAGGATCTGATCACAGGTTTTCTATTTATCCCAGATTATCTGGCAGTTCAGACTCATATAATCCAGATTAAAGCAGAAAGACTGGGATCGGATCCTGGGATATATGGCCTGTTTGGAAGGGCCCTCGGATAACCCACCTCAAAGCAGATATTGTGGATCTTCTGCCTTGGATGTTCTGGGCTATATGGATTTGTGGAAGGTCCCCAAGTCCACACTGCCATATATCCCAGTTCAAAGCAGATATTGTAGGATTTTCTGCCTTGATATTCTGGGCTATATGGGTGTGTGGAAGGGCCCAAAGAATGCTGGTTCCTTGCCAAATTACAGCTCCCACAATTCCATAGTTTTGAGCCATGGCGGTTTAAGTAGTGTCAATCTGCATTAATTCTCCAGTGTAAATGTGCCCTTTGACATGACTATTATGTATTGTCGAAGGCTTTCATGGTCAGAATCACTGGCCATGAAAAGGATTCCCCCCAGGTAGTAAGCAACAAGACCTTTAAGCTACAAGGCCATTAAATGCTAATCAAGGTGGTAATGACAACATTCAAACCTGCCTCAAGCAGACAAGAGTTTTTTCTCCCACCCTGGACATTCCACAGATATATAAACCCCATTTGCCTAGTTTCCAACAGACCTCACAACCTCTGAGCATGCCTGCCATAGATGTGAGTGAAACATCAGGAGAGAATGCTTCTAGAAGATGGCCATACAGCCCGGAAAACTCACAGTAACCCAGGCATGGCTACTGTTTGAATTGCAGACCTCCAAGTCAGCCTTCCAAGCTATGGGTCCTTCCAGACAGGCCCTATATCCCAGGATCTGATCCCAGGTTTTCTGCTTTAAACTGGATTATATGAGTCTGCACTACCAGGTAATCTGGGATAAACAGAAAACCTGGGATATAGGGTCTGCCTGGAAGGGTCCTATGATACTCTCCGATTATTCATTAGGCTTCTAGGGATCTTTGGCACACTGCAATTCACAATGCCCAAAGTACTGGTTTGTTGTGATGGCCTGCTTTGCTGTGTTAAGGAAATCTGCTTCAATATATTAACTATCTTTCTGCTTTCTTTTTGAAGCAATGGGCCACATTTGCTCGGTACTGGTACCTTTTAGACGCCAAGATGCAACCACCAGGAAAGATTGCAGCCATCGCTTCCACCAAGCTTCAAGGGAAACATAAGCCTGTGTACCATGCACTGAGTGAGTGCAATAAGTTTGCTGTATCAGGATTGACTTATTTACATGCTTAGAAGTATAGCTGGGCAACCTGCAACCCTAGAGCCAGAGGTGACCCTTGGTCTTATTTGAAAAGCCACTGATAAATGGTCAGATCAGGCAGTTTTCTTCTGCTTCCCCAGCACTCTGGATTTTGGAACTGAAAGCAGGAGAAAGGGTTAGCTTTCCTACCTTTGGTTCTGGTCTCATGCACGTCACATACCAATGCTGTCTACTGTTGGCATCTGTATCCCAGCACATAACACCCATAGAATTTAAATCAACACGCCTCCACAAATTATTGATTTAAATAATGTATTTTTTTTAAAAAAAAATATTTAACTATGTATTTCATGAATAGATAAATGTAATCACCATTAGGGAGGAACTGGTTTCTCTTATTTCCCTCATGACAAAGTCTGAATGAATGTCCATCCGTTCCTATGTTGTCTCTTTCCCTTGGCTAATACCTAGAACCATAGAGTTGGAAGAGACTACAAAGTCCATCTAGTCCAGCCCCAAGTCATGCAGGAAAAGCACAATCAAAGCACCCCTGACAGATGGCCATCCAACCTCTGTTTAAAAGCCTCCAAGGAAGGAGCTTCCACCACACTCCAAGGCAGAGAGTTCCACTCTTGAACAGTTCTTATGGTCAGTAATGTTCAGGTGGACTGTCCTTTCCAGTAATTGAACCAATTGCTCCGAGTCCTAGTTTCCAGGGCAGCAGAAAACAAGCCTGTTCCCTCTTCCTTATGACATTCTTTCACATATTTATGCATGGCTATCATGTCTCCTCAGTGCTTGACTTTGCTCCTCCATCCCATCTCATTCGATCAGAATAGCTATCCTGATTGCCTTTGAAGACTGTCCAGAAGCTGCAAATGGTCCAAAGAGCGGCAACCTGGTTGCTAAAAGGAGTGGCGCTCAGGGAGCACACAACTCCTCTGTTGCGCCAGCTACATTGGCTGCCCGTTTGCTTCTGGGCACAATTCAAAGAACCATCTAGGATGTTAAGATCTTCTGGGGAGGCCCTGCTCTCACTCCCACCCTCTTCACAGATGTGTCTGGCAGGGACGAGAGACAGGGCCTTCTCAGCGGTGACCCCTCGACTGAGGAACGCCCTGCCTAGAGATATAAGATTGGCTCCCTCCCTCCTGACTTTTCGAAAAAAGGTGAAAACCTGGCTTTTTGAGCAGGCCTTCCCAAATACGACATAGCTAATCGGAATTATGGAACTACTTGATAACACAATGGAATAATGATTTGACATGGAGATGCTCATGATAATGTTTTAAGGCTTTGTATGGTTCTTATATTTTTATATAATATGATATTGCTTTTAACAGAATTTCTTCATTGTTTTTATTTATTATAAATGTTGAGGCATCAAATTGTTGCCGATTTGTGAACTGCTCCGAGTCGCCTCTGGGCTGAGAGGGGTGGTATATAAATATAGTAAATAAATAGTAAATAAATTATCCTTGACCTATGTATCTGGATATCACATTGCTAGTTGTGAGAAACTAAAGCTCACAACTTGATTAGTAATTACTTAGTTTGTGAGATAACACTCCATTCAGTTCATGAGTTGTATGCTTAAAATGAACTGAAATACTTAAATGAACTTAATTGATCGCCTAAGTAAGTAAGTAATTGGTGGTTCTGGCAAGGGCTGGTGAGAATTGGAGTCAGACACCATGTGGAGTTGCCTATGCTTGCCTTTTGCAGATCTTTGGTAATAGAAGCTTTGCTTGCAAGCCACTAAAGGTAATATTTATTTTTAAAAAGTTTGTTATTTATTATATATAATTTCTTTTTAGCAGGTCCTAATTGTATTGCTTTGTATACTGCAGCTCTTTATTTCTGATGCTATTAATTGCCTATTTGAAATTACTAGGTGACCTTGGAGACCATGTTGTCATAATAAACACAAGACATATTGCTTTTTCTGGCAACAAATGGGAACAGAAGGTGTATTCGTCACATACAGGGTAAGTGTTTCATAGTCATTGCAATAAAAACATTAACAAATGTATATTGGTATTGGGAAATAATTTGAAGACAATGAAAACATTGTTACAATTAAGGAAATGGGATTATCAAAAGAATAACAAACATATTTACCTCCACTTAAATCTCTCCCCAGATTAAGTTAATGCTTTTCAAGAGGCAATGAGATTACCTGTCACTCAGTAACCAGTAATTTGTGCTTATATTAAAGTTTCATATCTGAAGTGATATTTTTTAAAAAGAAAAGCAAGTATTTAGTGTTACCAAGACTATATGAGTAATTTTAAAAGTCAAAAATTAACAGAAAATCTATTGAAATACAAGCTATTATAGCCACAGATTTTTAAAATGTGTATCAGTTCACTTTGGACAGGTTCCTAAGCTTTCATGTTCCAATTTAATATTTTAAGCATGTTTCCCTTTTTAAATATCGATACACTGATATTTTACTTTGGTATAGAATATATTTTATATCATAACATTTACATTAGATGTCATTTGTATTTATTTTTATCCTGTACTACAAGAATACTTAGTTTTTGTGTTTTTGTCATTTTGTATTAAAGATACCCTGGTGGTTTCCTACAGCTGACAGCAACTCAGTTGCATTTAAAGGATCCAACAGCAGTAAGTCACCATCCTTCTTTGCTTTCTGTTTATACTGTATGTTTGTAGGATCTCTTGGCTTTTATTGCGAGTCATCCTGCATATATTTGCCATTGATCACCTAGACAGGCATGGGCAAACTTCGACTCTCCAGGTGTTTTGGACTTCAACTCCCAGAAATCCCAGCCAGCTAGTAAGTTGGTTGGGATTTCTGGGAGTTGAAGTTCAAAATGCTTGAAGGACTGAAATTTGTCCATGTCTGGCCAACTACAAACAAAGAACCTGACCTGATTATCTCAGCATGTGCTGCCATCTCAAAGGCACATAAAATTGGCGTCCTTCAGATTTATTTATTTATTTATTTCGCGTATTTCTACCCCACCTTTCTCAACCCCCGAGGGGTTGGCTTACAAAAGGCACAATTCGATGCCTACACAAACAGTAAAAGTAAAACACATATAAACAGCAATTAAAACAATTATAAACAGTTAAAACAATCAATTATACATCACAATCAATAAAACCAATCTCATGCTCAACGTTCGCCAGCTCAAAATCCATAAATTCATTCCACATTGTCAGTTCCTATCAATTCTAAATATATCTCTTTATTACTTGCTTTCCACATTGAGCAATTGCCAGGTTCTACCAATGACAGCCATCCCATATAAATCTTAATAACTTTACCATTGAGTGTATTCTTTCACTATTGCATTATATCTAATTGAAAAAGAGATCTAAAAGTCTTGGTAGACCACAATGTGAATATGAGTCGACAGTCTGTTGTGGCAGCTTTAAAAGCCAATTTTACTCTAGACTGCATCAGTGGAAACACAATGTCTAGAGATCAAGGAAAATAATAGTTACATTCCATTATGATTTGGTTAGATCTCATCTGGATACCATGTCCAGTTCTGGGCACCACAATTCAAAACAGATACTAACAGGCTGGAACATGATTATAGAAGGGTGACCAAAATGGTTAAAGGTCTAGAAGCCAAGCCCTATGAGGAATGGCTTAGTGTGTTTAGCTTGGAAAAAAGACTAAGAAATGATAGCCATTTTTGAAAGAACATATCGAGGAGGGAGCAAGCTTGTTTTCTGTTGCTCTAGAGATTAGGCGACTAATCTGAGCAATGAATTCAAACTGCTGGAAAAGTGATTTGTTCTGCTTTTGTGATGTCTGTTTCTATTATATTGTGTTTTGTGGCTTCGGCCTGTGTAAGCCGCATCGAGTCCTTCGGGAGATGCTAGCGGGGTACAAATAAAGTTAATAATAATAATAATAATAATAATAATAATAATAATAATAATAATAAACATTTAAAAAGTTTCCTGACAGTAACAGCTGTTTGTCAGTGGACTGTGCTGCCTTGGAATCTCGTGGAATCTCCTTTAGAGGCTTTTAAACAAATATTTTATGGTCATCTATTGAGAATGTTTTGATTTTGTTTTCTGCAATGCTGATGTGTGGACTGCATAACACTTTTTGTCTATTTCAACTCTGATTCTTTTATTATTTTGAACATTATGGATGATGACGACCATGCTTCTTGCTGCCCTTTCTTCAGTTTTTCTCTCTGTTCTTTTATTCTTTATTTTTTGGAAGGAAGGGGGCATGTTGCTAACTAGGAATAAGAGATGATTGCCAGTTATGTCATTAATCAATATCCAGTTAGTCCTGTCACTGTGCAGAAATACCCCCATGTTATCCTTAACCTCCGCCTTCTCTATGGTTGTCATGTGTCACTTTTTGTCTTGATAGTTTTCCCCATTTTCTGCCAATAATTCAAAATGCTGCATCTTTCTTTCCTGCTTATGACTGCAGTAGTCCCTTCAGTTACCTGCATTGGTTCTGTGTTCTGCTTTCCCTAAATTTCAGTATTCTATTCCTCATTTATAACTACTTGTCTGTGGACTAGACCACCCAGTCTTTCCCATTTCCTTCTCCCGGCCTTTTTCGTGCTTTCTGTTCTGTTAAAGCACAGCAGCAGTCATAGTTCCAGCCTCTGTGCCTTGCACCTCATACTGCTCTGTATGTCCAAACACCATGGTCAGCCTAGTTCTCCTTCCATAATATATTTAACAAAATACTCTGTTGGGGGAAGCAACCTTGTCAAGCCTCCTCTATATGATGTTTGTCTGTTTTGTAATGTGTCATTTTATAACCTGAAGTATATATCATATTTGATTTGCATTTTCCTTATTTCTATATACTTTAAAGCAGTGGGAGGGGCTGCAGATCACGTGACTGACTCAGTGACAGTTTAGAATGTAAGCTGTTAGGATTTATGAAAGTTGAAGGCCAAAAACACCTGGGGACCCACAGGTTGAGAACCACTGCTCTATGGTTGACATGTTCCTCCTGTGCCACCTGATCCATCATCTAAACTTAAAAATCTTCAAATATTAACTTAGCTCATTAGCTAGTACTACTTGAATTTGCTAACAGCCATTATAAACTAAGAACTTGGGAAGGGAGAAGAAGAAATAGCAGAGGCTTGTACTGCTTCTGGCTCTCACAATTCGATAGGAGCTAGAGTTTTTTAGCCTTGCTTTGACATATTCAATCATGCCCTCATACCTGCTCTTTGCTGCCCCTTCCTGGCTTAGTAGACTAGAACACAGTCATGTCATAACATGCAGACATGTAAATGTACAAGGCATACGTCCCATTTGCACTGAGTAATATTTTGATTTGCGGCACATTTGTCAAAAAGATTGGATGCTACAGGTCTGATATACACATGAGCCTTCTAAGGAAGGATAAGGGTGCATTGATTAAAATAAGAGTGTCTATGTATCTCCTAAACAAGGATCCAGTTCTGATCATTTCATCATGTTCATTTCAAATACTGTACATTGAAATATCATTTATACAGAGTAACAGCAGTGAAATAAACTAACCCATGGGCTTCATGTATTGGTTCAAAGTAAACAAACATTTTAGTGGTCTGGGTTGTTGTAGGTTTTTTCAGGCTATATGGCCATGTTCTAGAGGCATTCTCTCCTGACGTTTCGCCTGCATCTATGGCAAGCATCCTCAGAGGTAGAGAGGTCTGTTGGAACTAGGAAAATTGGTTTATATGTCTGTGGAATAACCAGGGTGGGGCAAAGGACTCTTGTCTGTTGGAGCTAGGTGTGAATGTTTCAACTGACCACCTTTATTAGCATTTGATGGCCTGGCAGTGCCTGGGGCAATCTAGTGGTCCTCTGAATCTCACACAGCTTTTATTGTGGAAGCTGTCAAAAAATTGCCACACATGGGAATGTTAGATAGTTAAAATACAATTCTGCCAAAAATAGCAAAATAAAACAAAAAAACAAAACCCCGACATGGATACCAGATGTCATTCCCATTTTGTTTTTGGATAGTTTTTAACTCATTCTGAAGAAATTTATCTTGCCAAAGAAACAAAAATTGGTTCTTATATTCTTGGCAGTTGACCAGCCCTACTGTATATGATATTTCTTTATCATTATTAGGTAATTTAGGCCTTATCCTGTGGGGATGTACGTCGTCATATGTGGACTTGAAGCTGTGAGAACTAGAATTGTTCAGATCCATATTGGCCCTATGAAGCAAAGGACTGAAATTACATTATTACATATGGGAGATAGCAGACTGACAGATGGGCATGCTGTTTGTTGGGGTCACTGTGCATTGATCCCACTATTCATTGGGACACTAAGTTAGAATGGTAGGGACGAGAGAGAGGGCCTTTTCGGTTGTCGCCCCCTGGTTCTGGAATTCCCTTCCCAGGGAGATCAGACTAGCCCCCTCCGTATCCACTTTTTGGAAAGAATTGAAGACATGGATGTTCCACTGTGTATTTGATTAAACATTTCCTTTGGCAATTGTCCATAGTCAGGACCCAAAAAATTGACTATTCACTTTACTACTGTTCTATCCAAAATTTGAGTTAACCTTTTTTATTGCTCTGATCCTTAACGCTGCTACACACCCTATGCACTTTACTCATTACCCTATCCTCCGATCTGTTGTGCACCAGACAGCCCACCCATGTTGAGGCTGGACTTTAATGCTTGTTTCATTTTTTGTATAATCTTGTTTTATGTTTTGAATTGCTGTGATGCACTCTAATGTGCCATGTCTGAGCCGCTCTGATTCCCTTCAGGGAGATGGAGGCAGGGTATAAAAATAAAGTTGTTGTTGTTGTTAAATGCTGGTGCACATTAGTAGAACCTGATGCACCACCGTATATTTTTGCCAGTGTCCTGTCACCTATTTTTGTAATTTGGTAACTGCTTCTTCCCATCTCTGTCACATAGCTAAGTATACGTAAAGTTATATAATGTAGAATGTGATTGAGGATTCCTGCCATGAGTTTTATGAATGTGATATTAACAATAGTATATGACATCAAATTATTTGATACGAAGCTCGTTGCAAAAATGTACTATTTACGGTATTGTTAAAAAATCCAATCTTAATCTCACCGTACCCAATAAAAACTTTTGAAAGTATTATGTTATTTCTATGAATTCAGAAGCTATATGTGGTCAATTCTGTGTTATGCAGCTAAGTATAGTCTCTTGCCTGTTGTGGTTTACAGCAGCACCATAATGCTGAATACAGTTCACAGTAACATTTTGCAGATACATCCTGTGCTAACAGGTCAAATTTAAGATTTCCTTTTTTAAAAAAAAACCTAAATTAGACCCACATGACAAATTAGTATTCAGTTTTCTTGGGAAAATCGGCCACTGAACACTGGAGGGCAGCATAACCCTACATGTTACAGATTTAAGTGGCTAAATATTTTCCCTCTGGGTAATATGTTGATGCTGATGGCTAAGAGCTCATAGGATGTGAATTCATTCAGTGTTATGATTCTGCTTTAAATGGCAGGACATGTTGAGCGTTGGGCTAGCACTGGGACCACGGTTCAAATCCTCCCTTGGCCTAAGACAAGTCATTCTCTCCGCCCTTGAGGAAGGCAAAGGCAAATCCTCTATGAATACATCTTGCCAAGCAGAGACAATAATAGGCTTGTTTTAGGTCTGCCATAAGATAGAAATGACTTGAAAACACACAGCAACTATATAAAATTTTAATATAATGTAAAAACAATTTTAAAAAACTTTACAAATTATTTGAAATTTATCTTTTGTTGTAAGTTTTGTCAAATACCAGGTGTGAAAAGGTCTTGAATCCAGAAATTGGTTTTGGGGGTATTTTTACATTTCCAGTTCTGAAGATTACTTGTCCTTTTAGCTCTAGCAAACTGTTCTATCTCCACATTCTTCAAACATACATATTTCCGTGTGAATCATTTATCAAATATGATAGCCTTTCTTACCCTCTATCTAGAGTAGGGTAATCTGACAAAACCATTCAAAATGCTTAACATTGACTTCCAGTTGCTCCCATCTTCAGCATCAGCCTTCTAGTGCTACCTTTTGAAATCAAACCAATATTCAGTGTTTATCACAAAAAATATTGGTTGTGTGAGTCTTTGCATAATAGCTAACGTAAATGATTGGATTGCAAACAATTTCTCATTGTAAAGGATTATAGGAAAATGACTATTTCAGATTGTTGACTTCTGAAAAACCTGGCTATACAGTTATACACCTTAGGAATCAAATGGTTTTGTGGACAAAATCCAGAAATAAGCCAGTTAAAAGGTCTCTCAAACTTAGCATGCAAGTAAATTTAGTTTAAGTAGTATAGTTTTTACAAGCGGAAAACTAACCTAATCCTCCCTCATTTTTCCTCCTGCTCCTTTCCTTGTAACTCTATATATTTAAGCATAATTCCTATACTATAATCCCAATCATTCGAGAGATTTGTTTTAAAAATTATTTTTCCTTTGGATTAACCACCTCTTTCCCGCTGAAAATTGACAGATGACATGAAGGCACACACACAAAGACAAACACACTGTTACTATTTCCCTATTGCTAATTAAATATTATTTCTCTGTACAAAAACCCCTCATTTTCAACATGTTCTTTACACTTCTCTAATACTTGGACTCCACTGTGGTGCAATGGGTTAAACTGCTGAACTTGCTGACTGAAAGGTTGGTGGTTTGAATCTGGGGAGCAGGGTGAGCTCCCATTGTTAGCCTCAGCTTCTGCCACCCTAGCAGTTTGAAAACATTCAAATGTGAGTAGGTACCACTCCAATAGAAAGGTAACACTGCTCCATGCAGTCATGCCAGCCACATTACCTTGGAGGCGTCTATGGTCAACGCCGGCTCTTTGGCTTAGAAATGGAGATGAGCGCCACCCCCCAGAGTTCATCACGACTAGACTTTACCTAATACTTGATGCGATTGAAGTCAAGCTATTGCTCATATATTTTTCCTTTCTCCTATTATATGTTATTTGGTTTTTGAATAGATCTTTGCTTGAACTACTATCATTTTACCAATGTTGTCTTAAATAATATCAAGTGCTTGGGAGACTCAGCAAGTTTCTTCACTGACTTTCAAGCTATGGGATACAGGGATATATTTATATACCCTATTTAAGTTTAAGACAAACTGTTTCCCATTTGAACATTTATAAAAATGGGGTGTGCCTTAGAATCACAGGTGCCTATTTCTGATGGTGGTATTGAAATTAGTGTGCATCTTACAATTGATGGTGTCTTAGACTAAGAAATACGGCATCAGCATTTGAAACTAATATGTATTTCCTTTCTCTTCATTTCTGTCTGGCAGCTTTTACTACTTCCTTCCTAGTGAGCTTGTCCAACTGTTTCCAGGACTGATTAATGTTAGCATATTGCATTTTGGCTTTTGAGTTTGCACATTTCTGCACTTTTTAATAGGCGGATAGGCAATTGGCAGCCTGACTACTCAGCGTACTGTCCAGGATTTTCTCATCTAAACTGCCCCTAGAACTGTGTCTAATTTTGAATAGCTGAATTTCTCCATGCTCCTCTGCTGTTAATTCCTATATACAAGCCAAGAAACAAACAAATACAAGTGGGAGATTGAGATCACTTTTTGCTACCAAAATTTGCCATTTTAAATGTTGAGAATCATCTTATCTCAGGAGTTTGAAACCCTGTTTCATTCCTCTGAATATGTGGACTTGATTGCTAAAAAGGTAGGAAATTTTTTCAGATAGTCTCCCACACAATGGCTTGTGGATTTGGGAACAACAACTCCCTTTCTTTTGCCTGGTTTTACAGTCCAAGAAACATCATTGGATCACTTTGGGATGTAGCAGTGTTCTTTTCCTGTTGTTTGGTTCCTTTACATGGAAAGGAAGTGTTTTGCTGCTCTCTGCTTTCTATATAGAAATAATTGAATATTTCCTGACAAAGTGTGGATTGGGAACATGTGGCCCGCTAGATGAAGCATCAATGATGCTATGTGTTGTTGAAGGCTTTCTTGGCTGGAATCACTGGGTTGCTATGGGTTTTCCGGGCTGTATGGCCATGTTCCAGTAACATTATCTCCTGATGTTTTGCCCACATCAATGGGAGGCATCCTCAGATGTTGTGAGGTCAGTTGGAAACTAGGCAAGTGAGGTTTATATATCTGTGAAATGTCCAGGGTGAGAGAAAGAACTCTTGTCTGCTTGAGGTAAGTGTGAATGTTGCAATTGACCACATTGATTAGCAGTTAATAGCTTTGTAGCTTCAAAACCTGGTTGCTCTCTTTATTCTGGTTGCTCTCTTTATTCCAACATTGCGGGTACTATTGAGAATTCGAATTCTGAACCCTTTTCTCAGTAAATCGCAAAAGCTCTTTCTCCGCAGTTTCTAGCTGCATCTAGAAATGTCTATATTTGTTTCTCTTCCTTTTGTACTCTCTCTTTTTTTCTTGGCTGCAACCCTTACGAGTTTGTATTACTAAGACAGTTGAAATGATCTCACAGTGTGCTATTTCCAGAGTGCCCATTAGTTTTGTCAAACATTTAGTTTTCATTAATTTCAGAGATTGTAAAGTGCTATAGATATATTCTGAACTGCTTAGCAGCAAGTTTCAGCAAAGTTTAGAACTATTCCCAATCTAAGCATTTTTTTCCAACCAATTTTTCCAATAAAACAAGCAAGCTCTTCTGCTGAAATCAGCATTGAGTATATCACATTGCTTCTCTCTGCCTCTTTCTGTAATTCATTTGTCTTCTATCTTTTTGGTATGTTGTTTCAATCAGGAAAAGCATTATCTGCAGTTCTTGGAGAAAGTATATACAAGCATAACCTTTGTCCATATTTGAAAAAATGGTATGTGACAGCTTGAGATTTGGAAGTTAAAATGTGACTTTTACATTTCTATCATATTTTTCTTCTCCATTGGCTTTGTAAATTGTCACTTATAAACTGACATATAATGGCATTGTGTGTGGTTCACATCTGGGATCTAACACAAACAAAAACTCATCTGTAAACAAATATATTAGCTTTCTGTTTTAAAAACAATTCAAACTTCTAACAGTAGGAAATGTGTTGGCAAAATGAAAATTCCTGAGGCATGACAATGCAGCAGTTCTTTTAATTAAGTCAGAACACACATAATTAAATCTATAGCGGGATTGATATATGAAAGTAAGTATTAAAAAAAATTAATTTCAGTATGTTATTCTTTCTTGTAACATTCATTAGAGATACTAGAGAACTGAATTGTATAGATAGTGGAAGGAACAATTAACTTTGATTTCTATGGTTATGGTCCTGATTATGGTATTTTTACCTAGGAGTAAGACACATTGGGAACAGAAGGATTCAGCTCCAAGTTAACATGTATACGATTGTGTTGTGAATGGAAGGTGTTAATCAAACACAGGTCTAAACTGTTATTCCCAGGATGAAAAAATGTATCTGAGCTATGACTTTTCATTATATGGATTCACTAGCTGACTTCCCTTAATGTTAGGGGGGAAATGCAATCTTCAGGATTCCGTGGCAGCACATAATTAAATGTCAATTCTTGAGAGCAACAGGGCAAAAGTATGGATTTCATGTGCCATTTTTGGCTTCACACGCCATGTTTGGCAACTGCTGAGCTTTTGAACTTGCTGACCGAAAGGTTACAGGTGCAAATCCAGAGAGCGTGTGAGTTCCCGCTATTAGGCCCAGCTTCTGCCAACTTAGCAGTTCAAAAACATGCAAATGTGAGTAGATCATTAGGCACTGCTTCGGCGGGAAGGTAACGGTACTCCATTCAGTCATGCCAGCCACATGACTTGGAGGTGTCTACGGACAACGCCAGCCCTTCGGCTTAGAAATGGAGATAAGCACCACCCCCCAGAGTTGGACATGACTAGACTTAATGTCAAGAGAAACCTTTACCTATTGGTAAGAGAGCCCATAAGCCACTTAGTTCCAAATTCTTGCCATGTTTTCACACAAATAATTCCAGGTTTGTGCCAGACTTATTTGCTTCATCCAAATGACCCTCAGCATTTTCAGAAAGTTTTCTTTCTGAAGAGTTTCTACTGTTTGTTTTCGACCAGGTTTGGTAGAGGAGAGAGCAAGATCTATTGATAGTGCAGTTGAACTACAGTAGATCATCAGAGTTTTTTGACATCCAGAGAAAATACATTTCTGGGCTGAGCATGTGCTTTGAACTATGTTGCTCAATTCTACATCTTTATCCAGAGCCACTGTGTTACGCCTGGTTCTTTCTCATAGACTTTATGTTATAATCCTACAAACTATAGTTCTGCTTAGTCTATAGGCAGCATATAATCAAATGGTCCAATGGCCTGGTTCAGTGCATTCGTGTTCCTTTGTTACCTACCAGCATGTGTAATATTACCCTTTAATTTGTTTGTTGTATTATATCCACAGTCTTTTCACAAATGAAATTTTGTCTAAACCAAATGTCTAGACTCTAATTTCTAGTTGTTCTGCTTATCTACGGCCTTCACTCTGCACAAGTCAGATCAGATATGTGTTTATATTTATTTATTTATGTTTATATTTATTTTTCAGATTGTAAAACTGGCTATTTATGGAATGCTTCCCAAAAACTTACTAAGAAGAACCATGATGCAACGGCTACACCTCTTTGCTGATGATGTAAGTAAATAGCTGATATTGTACAGTTTCCTGTGAACTAATCTCACATGCATCTATGCGTAGCTCATGCTATTTCCTTAGATCTGTTCATGACTCTGCTGAAGTAGACCTTTCCCACATTTGAGTCCTCCAGATGAGTTAGACTACAAGTGCTATCATCCCCACATGGTGTGGGTATAATCAGGGAAAGCTACACAAGTGTGAGTTTTAGTTTTGGCCATTAGGATGTCACTAGACTTTTATTAAAATCTACTAAGATAGACACTATTTCACTATTTCCAAATTTAGATATTTTGTTGAATGACAACCAAAACACTTACTTAGCTGTCTGCAAAATGTAGAAACTGTCTGAGTGGAGTATGTTTCATGGTTACATACATAGGTCTTAACCCAGTTATATGTTTGGGCTAAACATACTAAATCCATTGGTTTTTTGGTAAATGTTCTTAGTAATTTCTCATTGATTCTGTTGGTCTTTTCTTGTTGGAACTGATAATTGAATCTGGGCCACAGAGATCGTAAAATATACATATTTAAAAAATAGTAATAAAAAAAACAGACTTTGTAACATGAAAAGCATACAAGCAACAGCATAATAGTTAAACTTCTAATAAAAATTCAGCTAACCTTAGCAGGTGCCCAGGACAAGAAGCAAAACATGTTTTCAGCTGACAGCAAAATAGATACAAGAAGGTCTACAGAAACGTATTCCAAAAGATTGGCAACCTAACTGAAAACATCTTTCTGAGTTCCCTCTGTGACTTTATCTTAGTAAAGTTACAGTGTGGGTTGCCGTAGTCGAAGTCATATAGGAAAAAAAGCTGTGATGTAACAATGTCAATCCCTGTGATTTAAAGAGTCAATCTCAGAAAAAAAAAACCAGAAACATTGAAGCGGAATAATGGATACTATGTTTTTTTTATATATACTAGATGTTTCCAAACTTTCTGAATTCACAGTGCCATTAGTGTCTCAATAATGTTGTCACAACTCCCCCCGGGCCAGAAAAAATAAATGTTAGATCCAAATAGTAGGGCTGGGCGGTTTCGTTCGTTAATTTCGTAATTCGTTAATAATTCGTTATTTTTTTGATAACGAAGCGATATTGAACCATTCAGGAGCAACTAAAAAACGAAACGAATTTTTAAATCTATTTCGTAATTGTTTTGTAATTGTTTCGTTATTATTTCCGTATGTCTGGTGCAAGTTTTATAGTTGTTTCCCTCCCCTCTCCCTGGTTGCAAGCGGTCGGCATTTACCCCACTTCCGGGTCCCTGGCCTCTGCTTAAGTGGATCAAATTCTCCTCTCCTCCTGTCGTCACCTCACCTCGTTCCTCACTCTGGCCTGCGTGAATTGGGCAAAGAGACACAGCAGTGCAGCACTCAGAGACCTGCCTGTTGCCTGCCTAACCTCTTTCCTTCTCCAGGTTAAAACTATTATATTTATTATTATATTATTATTATTATTAAGAATGGATGGCCATCTTTCAGTAGTGCTTTGACTGTGCCTTACATGCACGAAGGCAGAAAGTGGTTTGTTATTATTATTATTATTATTATTATTATTATTATTATTGAGAAGCATTGTCAAACCAGAATAGAGATCTCACCCCTCCTCTCTCTCTCTTTCCCCCCTCTTTCCTTCTCCAGGTTAAAACTATTATATTTATTATATTTATTATTATTATTATTATTATTATTATTATTATTATTAAGAATGGATGGCCATCTTTCAGTAGTGCTTTGACTGTGCCTTACATGCACGAAGGCAGAAAGTGGTTTGTTATTATTATTATTATTGAGAAGCATTGTCAAACCAGAATAGAGATCTCACCCCTCCTCTCTCTCTCTTTCCCCCCTCTTTCCTTCTCCAGGTTAAAACTATTATATTTATATATTTATTATTATTATTATTATTATTATTATTATTATTAAGAATGGATGGCCATCTTTCAGTAGTGCTTTGACTGTGCCTTACATGCACGAAGGCAGAAAGTGGTTTGTTGTTATTATTATTATTATTATTATTATTATTGAGAAGCATTGTCAAACCAGAATAGAGATCTCACCCCTCCTCTCTCTCTCTTTCCCCCCTCTTTCCTTCTCCGAGGTTAAAACTATTATTTAAAACTATTATTTTCACGTTGCGCAACCGCGTCCGCCATTTTAACGAATTGATTCGTTAATATTAACGAAATTTCGTAAATATCAAACTTTTTAAAAGGAAAATTTCGGAATTCTTTTAAATATCGAAACGCAAAAAACCCCAAAAAACGAATTGATTTTAGAAACAAATTTTTCCGTTGTTACCCAGGCCTACCAAATAGCCCAATAAGAATGTAAGTCCTAATAAATTACTAGCCATCTTCAAAAAATACATGCATACGTTGAAAGAGAGTAGAGACATCACACTGGCAACGAAGATCTGCATAGTTAAAGCAATAGTATTTCCTGTAGTAACCTATGGATATGAGAGCTGGACCATAAGGAAGGCTGAGTGAAGGAAGATAGACACTTTTGAACTGGGGTGCTGGAGGAAAATTCTGAGAGTGCCTTGAACTGCAAGAAGATCAAACCAGTCCATACTCCAGGAAATAAAGCCTGACTGCTCAATGGAGGGAAGGATATTAGAGGCAAAAATGGAGTACATTGGCCACATCATGAGAAGACAGAAAAGCTTGGAGAAGATAATGATGCTGAGGAAAATGGAAGGAAAAAGGAAGAGAGGCCGTCCAAATGCAATATGAATGGATGTTCTCTTTGAAGTGACTGGCTTGACTTTGAAGGAGCTGGGAGTGGCGACGACCAATAGGGAGCTCCTGCGTAGGCTGGTCCATGAGGTCATGAAGAGTCTGAAGCGACTGAACGAATAAACAAAAACATTGAAAGAAAAAAATAATATTCTTGAATAATCACAATTACTGACTGATGGACTGAGAGCATTGGTAGAGCTTTAAATAAAAATGTAAGAAACAGTGAGGTGCCACAGATCAAGCATGGTCAGGGAAGGTTTGACTAAGTTAGTTGGAGGAAGGAAAAGCACAGCTAGTAATAACTTTTCCAACTGGAGAAAGCAACAGTACTGGAAAAAAGGACAATTTAGCAACATTTATTTCTGGTATATCGCAACAACCATAGGAATGGAGGCCTACTTGCTTCATCTATTTTCTTCTTCCTCCTCCTCTTGGGTTTTGAAGTGAGAGAGGAGCAAGCTGAGCCCAGCTCATAGAAGGGCTATCACCACTGTTGTCGCCGCCATCGACACACAAACACTCAAATGCTTGGTTCAGTGCTAGTTCCATGGCTGCTTCTGCATGGGACTAGCACTCAACGGACGGGGCTGGAGTATTTATGGCAATAGCATTACTGGCAGTAAATCCCAGAATGCTCCCATCTTGCCTTGCACCAACAAGAAGAAAAGGTGGAGGTAGGTGCCATCGTCACAACAACTGTTGCAGCAACTTGAGCCATTTCAACCTGTTTTTGTTAGTATACACCAGGGACTATGAGAATGGAAGCAGCTGTGTTATTCTCCTAATCTGTAAAAAAAAAAACTGGCAATTTCTATTTTACTGAAACAAGCCCCTCTAACTTTTTTTTTTCAATGACTTCAGAATTTCTGGAATTATTTCTTTAACTACTCTTATCAAATCTGTTGGAACATAAGTGGTGCAGATGATAGCTAGAGTAAAAACTGATGTCTGTGATTGCCTCGTCAGGAAATCCCGGAAGAAATACGTAAGAATCTCGTAGAGGAGCTTAGTCAACCTCGCAAGGTGCCCAAGAGGCTAGATGAATATACCCAGGAGGAAAAAGATGCTTTCCCAAGGCTTTGGACTCCGTAAGTATCTAAAATCCTTAAGAATGAGTATTTATAACTATGTGTGTGATGTGCAAAAGGATCTTTAGAACTGAGAGAAAAAAGTTGGTAGCACAGATTTAGAGCTACTTCACGTTCATGGAATGAAGATTTATGTACTCCATGCATATAATATGAAAGCTTATGCTACCAATTTCTTCCTCTCAGTTAGTCTCAGTGGTACTTACTGATCCAGACTAACAGATATATATCTTAGAATTCTACATGTGTGATACCTTTGCTTTTATGTTTGCCTTGAAGTGGCTAAGAATGCTGGTGTGGCAAAATTTTCTTTTGAAGTTAATGAGTTATATAGGTATGTTCCTTTGTGTGGGTGAGGTGTTTCAGGGATTAATTTTGTTGTTCGTCATTCATTTGTTTATGTTTTTGACTGATGTAAGAAATTCTGAAAATAGGAAAATATTTGAAGAGAGGATTTACCTAGTGTCTGTCCTCAAAATACCTCTATAAACCTGTTTCCTTATAAAATAGAATATCCTGCTTTGATATGAAAAATAGTTGTTTTAAAAATCTGTGATAGCAAAACGTGACTAGAGTAACAAAACAAGTGTATCTTTGTTGCCCTTTGACATGCTATTTATAGTGTCTCTATCTGTAACTTATTACAGGGTGCAAAATAATTGCACCTGGAAATTACTAAGTACAAAGGAGTATCTCATTGTTTCAATAGTCTGTATCAGACAAAAAGACATTACAAGAAAGTCTGAATAGGAATCCTCTGTGCTAAGTCCACTCAATTCATTTAAACCCATTCCTTTTGCGAGCAGCACTTTCCAGTCTGCTAACCTTGAACCCGTGAAACATTCCATGACAGTCCAGGTGTCTAAACCTTTTTGTCTTGACACTCAAATGTTTTGTGCTTCATATTATTACTGATGTAGCTTATTGGCTTAGACTATGGATCAAAATACCTCCAAATCTTTCTACAGCTACTGGGCCTTAAGCAAGGTTTTCTTCTCTTGGGCTGACTTCCAGTCAGCAGTTTAATAATCATCATCATCATCATCAGTCTGGACTTTCGAATCCAGACTGACAAAGTTTTGGAACACAATCACAATTGTGGAAAAGAAAAAAGTTTGGATTATTGATTTGCCATACCAGGTGACAGTCGCATTGAGGAAAAACTCAGCTGTTATCAGAACCTCAAAATCGAATTGCAAAGGCTCTGGCATAAACCAGTACAGGTGGTCTCAGTGGTCATCGGCACACTGGGTGTCGTGCCAAAAGATCTCAGCCGGCATTTGGAAACAATAAACATTGATAAAATCTCTAGACCATGGCCATACAGCCCAAAAAAACCTACAACAACCCATTGATAAAATCACGATCTGTCAACTGCAAAAAGCCACCTTACTTGGATCTGCGCACATCATTAGAAAATACATCACACAGTCCTAGATGCTTGGGAAGTGTTCAACTTGTGATTTTGTTATACGAAATCCAGCATATATATCTCATTTGCTGAGACATACTGTGTTTTTGAGTCAGTAAAATAATAACAATAATAATATGCAACTATCTTCTAAGGATTATGAGAACACGCATAAAATATTTTGAACAGTAAAAAAAATCTGTATATGTTTGTTCAGAAGTCTGGGATTGTCAATAAACAAGTTTAAAGTTAGTTTGTTTTGAATTACAGACTGCCTATAATTCAAAAGCCTTTTTAACTACTGCTAAACCAAATACCCTCCACCCTATACCTGTACACTAACACGGTTTTCAGGAATAAGATGGTGAGAAATATGAAATAGTTAGAGCTTAGAAAAGTTACTTTTGGGGGGGGGGCTGCACCTGCATGCTAGCAGAGGGATTTTGGGAGTGCAGTCCAAACTTGTGTTTGCTTACTGCCTAGATGTTGGAGCTACCTTGGCTCTTTAATCCATATCCAGTACGATGACTCTATGCTGGTTTTCTTTAGTAAAGTGCACACTGTCCTCTTTTTCAGAAATGAAATTTATCAGCTGTCTTGATTTTCTTTGAGAACCTGTCTGCTTGTGAAATATTTAATAATCTGTTTTGGCCCAAAAGAGGAGAGGTTGAAAGGTCTGAAAGTTTTCCTTTCTTCTGATAAGAAAGGGGGAACTCACTTGACCCCCAATTGTAAAATAACAGTGAACCAATTGCACATATAGTACCCTAACATTGAGAAGCAACAGGAATCAGTGGAGAAAGAAGAAGAGGGCAGTTGGTAACACTAGTTACCAGCCTAGTTCAGCATGTGTCTTAAAATGACTGAAAAAAATGCTAATACCTGCTAAAATGAAAGCCAGTAGGGATTTTCACAAAATCCTACTAATCTTAAACTTTTGCAGTTTTATCCTGTGATGTTGGAGTCTGTTATCACCACAACTAAGGGGGTTAGTCGGAGCCAGCTGTTTAACACAGAGAAATGCCGTGTGGTGTGAAGCATGAAAATGGTACTTAATGGTACAGCTTATAATTAGTCAAATGTGCACGAAAACTGCCTGTCTTCAGTTGTGAATATTAGGCGCCGCTTCAAGTGGAAAATTACAGACCCCTTCATTCCAGCTGCCTGAGAAAGGGCAAGAATGAAAATGACTTGCCTCGGGCATAGTCATATCTTTCTAAAAAATACTTCCTTACATACTACCTTACATATCAGACCTGTTTTATTCATTCAGAGAAAGTGTGACTGTGTACTACTTCACAAACTTTCTAGAACTACTGTTTTTTATCATATTCTTGGTGCTTTTTTATTGTTAGAATGTCAGTAAACCTTTCTAAGTAAGTACAGGTGGTAGCTGTGTTGTGGCATATCATATCTGTGAATCAAGCTGTTGTGGTTCAGATTTCATCTCAGTCGTGAATTGCCTGGGTGGTATTAGACAAGCTGCCATTCTCTCCCCTTGAACCTGATATTTGCAGTATGCAGGATGATGTTTGCCTACATTTTTACTAAGCTTATTGCTGAGAAAATGTATGTGAAATACATCAAAACAATTGATAAAATAGTGTTTCTTAAAGTCATCCCCAAAGGGAATTAGGAAATTAAGCACTGGATCAAAAGACTGCTAGAACACAAAACAAACAAAAGAAAAAGAGCAAAAATACATCTGGAAAAAAATAAAGCTAATACATTCATGACCTTGACCCAATAGTGAGCGCCCTTCCATATGATCCTCCCAACTAGATTTTAGGACCATGCTTCTCAAGATATCAGATTTGGTGGACTATCAAAGCGCTTTTCTATTGTTCCATTGACCAGCACCATATTTATGCCTAGAATTTATTCATTCATTCATTCTCTCTCTCTCTTTCTCTCTTTCTTCCTTTCTCTTTCTTTCTTTCTTTCTTTTCACCATGGACCTACAACCAACTCTTCCTGCCACAACCCCTCCTTCCAAATATTTCCAAATCTTAAAAATAATTTGCAAAACATTTTCAACGAAGGACGAATCCTCCATTTTGTCCAGAAATGCAATTTGATCGGGGGTATGGTTGTGAGGGGGGATCCCTGGTGGCACAGCGGGTTAAACTGCTGAGCTGCTGAACTTGCTGACTGAAGGGTTGGTGGTTAGAATCTGGGAGCGAGTAAGTTTCTGTTGTTAGGCCCAGCTTCTGCCAACCTAGCAGTTCAAAAACATGCAAATGTGAGTAGATCAAGAGGTACTGCTCCAGCGGCCACATGATCTAAGCCAAAGAGCTGGACAACGCCAGCTCTTTGGCTTAGAAATGGAGATAGGCACCACCACCAAGAGTCTGACACGACTAGACTTAATGCCAAGGTGAAACGTTTACCTTTACCTAATGGTTGTGAGGAGCAAAGAAATGGCCAAACAAAACAAAAACAAAATCCTGCCCATTCTAAACATCTGTTGACACTCTTGTGGTCTCTTCCAGCTCTATGATTCTGTAAAAACGTCTCCCCATCCCATGCTTTTTTAAAAATCTGTTTTTTCCCCCATCAGGGTTGCAGATATCATTCAGACAGCAAAATTAAAAGCAATTTGACTTCACATTGCTATCACCAGAAGGGAGTAAATTAATTTGAGTTTAATCTGGACCTAGTACATTTTCTATCAAATCTGCTGAAACTGAATCCAAATTGGTTTGACCTTTATTTTTAATCCTCCTTTATTCCTGAATGACAGGGATTGAACTGGATGGCTCTTGTGGTCTCTTCCAACTCTATGATTCTATGAAATATCTGTGAATAACTTTCCCGGTAACATTGTCTGTCAGTAAGAATTTGAATTCCCTGCCTAACTTTTTAACTGGAGGTTTTACAATTGAGAGAATTAAAGAAATGTTCATAAATTCAGATGCTAACCAAGACCTAGAAAATAGCGATTTTTTTTTTTGCTGTAAACTGTGTATATATGTATTGAAATGATTTCCCCTTCAAGTGGCATAATACAAGTAATCAGGTCCTGTAAAAGAGGCTTGCTTTCTCTGTAAGCTCCAGACTTTGCCCAGTGGCTAGGTGCCAAACTGACAGAATAGTGTTCTAATATGAAGACGTTTTTCAACCTCAGAGGTCAGCAAATCCACATTTAATCCTTTCAACTGTTTAAACTTAATCCAATTTCTTGAAATGCCCCCCCCCCTTAATATTGTTCTTTTTAACCCTTTTCCACACTTATATTATAGTTGTAATAATGCAAAATCCTTCTACATAGTGCTATGATTAAATAAATCTAGAAGGATCCGAAGGAAACAAAGTCATATAGGTTAAACAATTCATCAGAGAGTGGGAGATGTTTATCTTGTATATAGTGACTCCCCCCCCCCCCAACTAATGTTTGGGGACTTTGTTGTTATTAAAGGTAGAGGATCTGAGAGTCATGTGTGCCACACGAGGTCATATCTGGCCCCTAACTGGCCATTATCTATTATGTCAAGGACTGGTTGGCTGGATGCCTCTCATAACTTTGTTGAAGAGCAACCAAGGACATCAACTGGTTGCATAAAAAGGCTGTTTTCATGATTGTGCTGTA